GGAAGCGATAAGTTCCTGTGCCCTCTTGGGAGCGTCTCGGGGCCCCAACAAGGCCCCCAGCGGCCCCCAAGAGAGTCCCGAGAGAGCCACAACAGAAATCCAAAAGGGGTCCCAATGAACCCCTGGTCCAATATCACAATGTGAACTCCGAAACGATACTTCCAAATGCCCTTTTGGGGGCCGATCGGAGCTTCCAGAACGGTACCGGAACGCCCCAAGAGCGTTTCAAGAGGGTTCCCAGAGGGGTCCTGGCTAGCCTCTGGTTCAAATCCAAGGCGTGGGGTTCGAAACGATTACTTTCAGTCCCCTCTGGAAAACCTCTCAGGGTCCCTGGGACGACCCCCAACGTCCCCATGAAAACCTTCCCAAGACCGCGAAGAGGGTTCCGCGAGGGTTGCATTAAGTACCCCCCCCCCTATTATCCCATCCAGGGTACCCTGCTTCGTTCGTGCACGACGGGCCTTCTCTTGCTACAACCCCCCTCATGCAAGAGGGGACCGCTGTTGTCACATGTCCGCCTCACGAGCATTTGTTCCACAATCCCCCCTCATGCACGATTGCTGTGCTTTCGCTTCAGCACCCTCGCACGCACGAGGGAACGTCATTGCGACAATCCCCTTCGTGCCCCTGAGGCAATGTTGCTAAAACTTCCCTCATAGACGAAGGTTGCTAACATCCCGCCCAACGCACGAAGAGTTGTTGTTGCTATCCTCCTCATGCACGACTGACGCTTTTTGCTTCAATCTAGTACCCATGCACGAGGAGGCGTCTATACGACAATCGCGCTCAGGTGCAAAAAGCAAGCAAGTTTCGCTGCAAGCCACCTCGTGACATATAGTCCAAACTCACAACACCCCCCTTAGGTGCGAGGATCTATTTGCTGCAATTCCCCTTCGTGAGCGAGAGGCAAGGTTTCTGCAGGCCCATCGCCACCAAGAGACACTTTTTGCCACCATCCCACCTCGTTCGCACCGGACCATTTTTGTTACAACTTCCACCCATCATGCACGAGAGAGTTTAAACCCGGTTGGGAGACCCAACCAAATACTTCGCCCAAAGCAAAATACACGTCCAACCCCGCTTTATCGAATTAGCGATAGCGCCAGAGGTCGGACAGATCCGCGTGAGCGGCGAAGAGACATCTCAAGAGTAAAGAGTGCCACCTTTTCTGCATCGATGTAAGGTAGCGGGCTGCGGCGCGGCCCGGTCAGATTGGCGGCCGGTCGCTTGGGCCAATGGCCGCGGACAAACGCTCGATACTTTCTGCTTTTGCCCTTCCTCCTTCGGAGTCGGGGGGGGAGAAGGCGAAGCGTGAGTCCGCTACCGGCCGCGCTCAGCAAAACAACTACGTTGCACAGGAAAGGAAGCAGTCAGCGGGTTCAACCTTAGCAGGTTACCCTGCAGCTCACTCAACCCTCGGGCGGCTCAAGCGGTGCTTCCCGGCCAGCCACGCACGACGCCGCGCTCCATCATTTGCCGTGTGCGACTGATA